AGATGACTTCATTCATATGTGGAATATAAAGAAACAAAACAAAGGAACAGGAAAGAAACTGGAAATCTGAATGGAGAATTGAGGCCCCACCAGAGAAAGCTGGTAGATGGGCAGGGAGGAAAGGATCAAGGGGACAGAATGGGCTGTGGTGGAAGATTATAGTGGGTATGGTGTGGTAATATGCATCATAAGAGGTGTGAAGCTATAGCCCTAAATCAACACAATAATGTAAACCAATATTACCTCATTGAAAACAATAATAATTCAATTTTTAAAGTTTTTTATTAAATAAATATATTATTCATAAAACATTATTTCATACAAAATAAAAAGCAGTGTGTTTAGATGATTTCTATGATTTTTAGGAATTACCTTCTGAGGACTTTATTTTTTAGTTTGAAAACTCATACCAAAGTAATTTATAGCAAAGTCCAAGGTCTTTCACAAATGCCTTTGAAGAGTTCATATTTTGAACATTATTCTGAAGAAGTTTGCTAGTTAAAATAATATATTTTTCTAGTCCTAGTCCCAAATCAATCACAGCTATAAGTATTCATTCATATTACACTTAGTGACTGTTATTTCCTCTTATATATTAATTCTATAGCTGGCAGCCCCTATATGGAATATTCATGAAATACTGGGAAGTAGCAACTGGAAAGAAAAGTATTTTTTACTTTACCAAAGTCATTGTTTTACCACTAAGTTAACTAAAATTCATGAAAATCTGTAATAATTCAGGGAACTTGTGAATACTACTTTACAGGGAAAAAGATTCTTTGCAGATGTGATATGTTAAAGACCTAAGATAGAAATAATATCCTTAATTATTTTATGAGTCATTAATAAATGACAAAGGTCCTTATGAGAAAAGCAGAAGTATCACACACCCACACATACACATACCCACAAATGTGTGGAAAAAGGCAGAAATTGGGGTGAGGCAGCTACAAATCAAGGATTGTGTGGTAGTGGCCAAAAGAGCAAACCTACTAGAAAAGGAAACTTCCAGAAAGCTACCTGATGGAATGGGCTCTCTCCACTGATTCCTTGCTTTGAGCCCAGTGCTAATGATTTTGGATATATTTTGAACGGAGAGAATAATCTTTCACATATTTAAGTTACTTATGCATGCAGTACTTTGTAAAAATAACCATGGAAAACTAATAGTATCCAAGACAACTTTTAAAACTAACTACATGATGAAGTCTAGTGTTTAGGCTGCATTTACAAAAAGGAACCAGAAGACATACTATTTATTTTTCACTTCAAGAAATATTTAAATGAAACATGCATGGAATACTCATAGGTTAAATGTACTACCTTTAGACTAATGATTCTTTTGTCCCTGACACTTAACTTTATGAAAACACATACTCTGTATAAACGTAAAAAAGTTTAAACAGCTTACATCATATTTACTCTTTGAGTAAGGCCTTCAGGAGGTTCTGTTTAATTTATTAGTGAAGATAATCAATCTATTTATGATCACTTTGCTTTTTGTGTTATCCTTGATTCGTCCCAGAGAATACAATGTGTTTATTACAGTTAGCTTCTCAGTATACTAGGCACATTTCCACAGAATTCCCTGAGTTTCCTTTGCAGAAGTTGAAATATTTAATGTATTAAGGTGTTACAATTATGGCATTACAAAAAGAGGTAGTTTGGATGTTGTTACTGGTTAACAATTTAGCAAGAAAAAAAAAGAATACAAACTTTAAAAAATGTCTCTGAATTTGAATATACATGAAAATGTTTTCTTATACTCCTTTCTGTTTTGCTTGCCTGTTGTTAAGAATTTTCAATTCAATTGACTTCTCAATTAGTATTGCCCTGATACATAATTTTTTTCCAAAAAATGATAAATTTATTTTTATAAGTCATTAAGTAATAAACATAGTACATATGTCTGTAAAATTAATTTATTTATCTGGATGCATATTGGTTATGTGTCTACAAGGTCACAGTAAGAAAAAAAAAATGTCCAAGAAAAAAAACTATAAATCATTCATTTTTTAAAGTGTGTTATACTTGAAAACAATTAAATATTAGATAATTTTTCTTTTAATGTCAAATACAAATATTTGGGACTCACAAAATTATTCCTTAATACTTTCATGAAAACTCTATTTCAAATTCCATTTGCATTCTGCCCTAAAGATAAAATCAGCAAGTTGGCCAAATATACTGTCCAAATTACACTCCTGGCACAAGAGATGATTATTTAGAATTTCTAAATAGAATTTCTACATAGACCCTTCCTAGCTGTAAAATACACATGATTCTATAAAATATGTGAAAGCTATTGGAACTCTGTTGCTAGGATAACTTTATTCCAAGCTGGTATTTATTATCAAAAATGATTTATTACATGTGCTCAGTCCAAATAAATATAGGGAACACCACGGGAGGTACTGCGTTGTGAGACGTTACAAAGAGCTTCTTTTTTTCATTAACTTCCATTTCTGGTTGCCATGGAATCCACTGACAACCATAAATTTTGGAAATTATCACCATCTGCCCACACCCACCTCTAAGGTTACAGAAAAGCCCACTGAAGCAAATAAAATGACAAATAAATGAAAAGTTGATAAGCAACCTCTTATTTCTTTAATTAGAGATAACTAAATACATAATATTAGGTATGGGAAGGACTTTTTTTTATAAATAAAAATAATGATTTCTTTTCCGTGAGAAAGGAGATGCTGTAGGAAAGATCATTTAACTTTAAGATTCATCGTGAAATAATATGAGGGAATGATTAGGAACAAACTGGTAGATTTCTTAAAAATTGAAAAATTAAATAAATTTTATTTTTCACAGAACAAGTTTTGGCAACTCTAAAGTTAAAATATATAAAAAATACTAATTTAAAAATAAAGGTCCATAATTAAAAGTCAATTTTAAATTATCTTTATGGTCTCTGTTCACTAAACAAGAAAGTATGTGATATATTTCAAAAATAACGGTATTTTTTATTTTGAGTTTTGACACTTGATCTCCCAAAGTAAATGTATATGCTAAATATTTGAGGTGGTCTTGTACTGAGATTCTGATGACATCAACTTTCTTCATCATTATTTTGGTAATAAAATACTTTCTTCACTTTAAAATAATAAGTGTTGGCAGGCAATTTGGAACCAGCTTTTCCCTATTTTAATAGTATATTCTTAAATACTTCCCACTAATAAGATAGCTATGATTAGTAATATGTGAAAGTCAATAGAAAGATCAAATAACAGAATAATCATTATTAAATTTATGGTTTTAAAATCTCCAAAATACAACTCATTTGAGAAGCTCATTACATCATGTTCATCTGAAAATATAGCACAAAAATATACAACGCTCAATGAGAAATTAACTTATTTACTATTAAAAATATTTGGTATTTTTTGGCCCTCCCTGGTGGCGCAGCGGATTAAAGCACAGCACTGAGAAGCTAAAGCCACTTCCACATGAGTTCGATCCTTGCCTGCCCCGGAGGAGACCATATGGCATGGCAGACCTCTCCTGACCTGCCCGCTGCTCCCCTCAACAGTGTACTTCGTCGATCTGCCTGTTCTGCTCCCCACTCTCTCTGGTGAAGCCTCTCACCACCCCTGCAACTCTGGCCTGTACCCCAGTTCTGTATGCATAAATAAAGAAATCTTAAAAAAAAAAATATTTGGTATTTTTATGCAAAAAACTACATAAAACGAACAAATAACTTCAAATTGAACTCAGTATATATTTAATAAAAGGTCCACAGAGTTGAACAAGCCATTCAGATGCTCTCATAAATGTGAAGGTTAGTTAAAATAGTCATTGCTTTCAACCCAATAAAGAATGCCAAGCTGGTGGCACAGTGGGTTAAAGCACAGCACTAAGGAGCTAAAATTTGATTGCCACCCCACCCCCCAGGAGACCCTGACCCGCCTGCTGCTCCTCTCAGAAGTGTACTTCCTCAGTCTGCCTGTTCTGCTCCCCACTGTCTCAGGTGAAGCCTCTCACTGCCCCACCCCTCTGGCCTGTTCCCCAGTTCTGTATGAATAAATAAATCTTAAAAAAAAAAAAAAAAAGCCAAGTCAGATAACCATCATTATATCACAATATGGAGGACAAATGTTAAAAAGAAAAGCACTGATATGGAAATTCAAAGAAAAAATGAAGACCCTTCCTCATGCCAGATTATGTTCCTTGTACTAATTATATTTCATAATAATTACAAATTCTCCTCGATATCTATTTAATAAAATGTCATGATAGCAAGAATTAATACAAATATTTTATGTGGTCTTATATATCATTATTATAATTTTAATTTACTTATGGATCTGGAAAAAACATGGCAAGTGGGCAAATATGTTTTTATGTGTATATATACAAATGAGAGAATGAGCACATCCACGTGGTGAAATGCAAATCAGGTATATTAGAGTGGTATACTACTAAGCTGTTTATGATAACAAGCTTTGGTGGCAAGACTGTTATTTCACTTGTACATTTTCAAAATTTAGTAGTAAATAATCTTCAAATGTATCCAATGAAAATTATTCACATTCTAATTTCAGAAATAATAAAAGATTTCTAATCGACAGTTACTTCCTTTGCTTTGGATGCACTTCAATCTATTTCAGAAGATTGTGGAAGGAGAAATGGTTAGAACTCATAGACTTGAGTTTGCGTAACCCCCACAGTTACCAGTTGATTGACCTTGGGAAAGTCACTGATGTTCTCTGAGTTGTGATTCATAGCAGGAAAATCTGGCTAACGATTTACTCTTTAATATGAGTGAGATGAATAATTAGAGCAACTCCTAGCACTATATCCAATTAAGCTTCTTTTATTTTATTTTAAGAAATGATAACCATAATGTAGTTTTGATGTAAGCTTTCATCAGTAATATCTGAACAAACCTAACTGATGTGTGTAAATATCTACATAAAGATCAGTTCCTGTAAAAGGCATGACACTGGCTGATTTTCAGTATTTTTGGCATATGTAAGTAGTGCTCTTACCTGTTGGTGGGATTATCCCAGGAGACATGAGGCCAGGGACAGAATGTGGCATAATATGAGAATTCTCTGGGGAGGTGACACTTTGAGTCCTCTTCGGAGGCCTTCCAGGTCTAGAACTGAAACAAATAAACAAAAAATTTTTACAATTAAGCTGTTGTCTTACACATCATTTCAAAGTTGTTTCAAGTGGTAACATGGACTGTAAATAAATTTGTTTCAAGGACGGTTGCTTTTGCAGTTAGATGTAATAGACTTCCATCACTAATTAGATTACATGCTGAATTCATTTTCCTCATTGAAGATCAGCCACTCTTGATGCATAATTCATAGCCTGCACCTCGTTACCTGCTTCTTCATATTAATATCTATACACAGTTTGAATTGCCTCGTTTGCATATGCTAAAGTTCTGCATGCAGCCTTCAGCACGAAAATTATGCACTAACTTGTAATAATTATTACAGTCAGCCTGCTATTGATTTATGAGACTTTTAAAAACCAAATATGTGTAGTACTTGTAATGAATGATATTTTAAGGTTCTTCAGGAAATTAAAAGGCAATGGCTGCCTAAGGAAATGTTCTGCTTGTTTGATTTAATACTACAGTTAGCTGGGAGGTGGAATGAAAGAGTGATTCAGACCTATAGCACATTTTTCGATGATATGTTTTATTACTTCGCACTGCTAGCCTGATATCTAGATGATAAATGACAATACATATCTAATGTGTGAAAAGGTCTTGCAATTTCTTTATTTTTTGTCATTTAAAAGATAAGTCAAGTTATCAGTTAACCCTTATTTGATTTAAATGAACAGCTTTACTAGTTGCCTTATTTTAAAATACTAAAATAAGTTGAAAGATTTAGGATTATTTGTAGGATATCCCTGAAGAAACTGCTATGTTTAGCATCATATACCAGCCTTTAAAGTCAATAAAAATACTTCATTTTTCTCATTTACAGGACAATTACAGGATATTAATTTTAAAGTTATACAAACAGAAGGTGAGGAAGAAACAAGTACTGATCATTCTTGATGAGAATAACATGAGGAATACATTAGCAACTTTTAAAATAAACATCCTTTAGATTATGTTTCCACTGTCTACTTCTGTATCAGAAATGTGCTTTTATGAAATGTTTTTCGATCACTTATCTTGTCAATATGCACCTACATATCTCCAAACCTCCAGAAACACACGTAACAAGTTAGCATTTCCATGTTGGCCTCAACTAACAGAAGAGTCAAAGATTCTGTGTTCATTGTTTTGTACAAACAGTATATGCAGTAATTCAGGTTTTCAATGAATAACTATTAAGTACTTGCTGTTTTCACAATAGTGCACTGGAAGTAAATTTAGGGAATGGTTTCTTACCCTACAGAAGCATAAGGCATGTCAAGGGGGCCAAAATGTTACATAAATACTTATGATATAACTCCTAATGTGCTCAGGTGCTTAAGCAAGTTGTCATCGGAATGCAAATTGGAAGTGAAACTAGGGAATAATACGTCCATGTTTAGGAGAGAAACTGTGGTAACAGAAATACTGAAATGGATTTCTGAAGGGACAAGTTAGACATGAAGAGGCAAGGATGGAAAGAAAGTGCATGCAAGGAAAATTGTGAGAAAGGATGAAAATGCACCGATGTGCAAGTTTTTGCCTTTCTTTCTGTCACTCCATGTCACTCTTCTACCTCCATCTCTCTGCCTCTATCCCCATTCCCGTCTTTCAATCATTCATGTCTTATTTGATCTACTATCACAGTTTTCCAAAGTCTTCTAAGACATATTTTAGCTTGGTGCCACTCCACAGTTCTAGACCTAGAGGTGAGAAACAGAAATGGAGATGAGAAATAAAGAGGAGACACTTCCTGGGAACAGATCCTGGATGACTTGGAATCAAGAGCAAGAAGATTGTATGCTTTGGTAACCAATTAATTTCTGCATAATATTGTGAGATATCTCTCTACTTTATTCCTGTTCATCATTACTATTTTTCATACTCAGTTGGCTCTTTAACTCTTTTTATTTTCTAGGGTCAATCAGCAGTTCTTTGATAATCTCCATTCTCCCTGAGTAATCTCTTCTACTATCATCACTTAGATAGTAAGAAAATAATAGCTAAATATACATCTACAACCTAGTTCTTCCTCATGGGATTCAGATAGATTAATGTCTGTCTGCCGGAAATCTTTGCTTGGATGCTCTATAATAATCTAAGACTCAGCTTGCCCAAAACCAAATTCAGCATCTTCTCCATTAAAACATACTTCTCTTTCCCTGGTTCAGCAAAACAGCACTTAATTGACAAAATCAAAATCCAGAACTCAGCAGTGTCTTTTCATTCCCTTGTATATTTGAATATCACACCAGTGGAGATATTACCCATATACTTCTCTGTCTCTTTCCCCGCTCAGACTAATCATTCACTATCTTATTTGTTCCACTACCACAGCTTTCCAAACTCTTCTAAAACATATTTTAGCTTTGTGCCACCCCACCATCTAATGTCTGTTACAGAACTCTTCATTTTTTTCTCTGAAGGATTTTTCTAAAACGGAAATCTGATCTTGTTTTCTCCATTTGCTTAGATAACAACAGCTCCCTACAGTATTCACACACTTTCCTTAAAAGGACATCAATGTTCCCCAAAACTTGGTCCTACCCAATCTCATCTTTTCCAATCTGATCTTTTTATTCCTCCATTAATTATTTACATTTGTCACAACTCAATTAACAATTTTCTGTATTATTTTGATCCCTATTACACTACCTTTTACACAAGTTACCTCATTTTTTTCCAACACCAAGCTTATCTTCATTTCACCAGATTAAACCTTAATGATTCTCCTTACTAACCACTTCTAATGGATATTCCTTCTGTGAACCATGGTGAACAACTCCAGCTGAGTTCTTTCTCTGATGATTATGGTAACTTGTTTGTTTACTCCCAAGACTGTATGGCATAAAGTATATAAAATATGCTGTTTTGTACTTAAAACTTAAGACCCTGTCAACTGTATGTATTTAAACAAATGTCAACCATTTATTAAGCACATTCCTCCAAATTCTTCATGCATCATGTGTTCAGTGGCCTCCACATTTCCAAGAAATCAAAAGTTAAAAGTTGGGATCCTGAGTCTAAAGATGAAGCTAAATATTCATATGAAGCCAAGAAAAAAGGAACGTAGGATCGCTCAAGTAAGATGTCCAGAGAATGAGAAAGTACGATCCCAAGTAAGAGAAAGGACCATCTCAAGTAAGATGTCATGAACAATGTGGGGGCAGAGGGAGGAAGTAGAATCCAAAAGTTAGCCTTTAACTTGTTTTGCTCTTAAAGAAAATGAATCTGTTCAGGAGTACTTTATTCCCCAGGCCACTGGAGCTGTCCTCACTACCCTCATTCTAAAATAGAAGTCAGGCCACTAAATAGGAACATTTTATTTCTTGCTGTGATTAGAATATACCCAGGGGGGCTCTTTTCACTCCAGATATCTCCTAACCAACCTATCATTTTTGTCTCCAATTCCACCAATAGAGATTTACTGCATTCAGATAGATTGTAAACTTTAAGATCTTTTAAACCTTGCGTGAAACTGATTTCCTAGAAACTACAGACAGACTTGGCCAGTATGGTGGACTTTTTAATACTAAAGGTAGGCAGGACTTCTCTGGCTTTTTTAGCTCTGACTTGTACCCTCGTCCTGCCATGTAGGAAAGGAAGCCTCTATTCATACACTGGCAATTAATCAATCTCTCTTTCTCCTCCCTTTCTTCTCTCCTTTTCTCCTTTCATCTCTGTCTTGTTCTCCCTCCTAACCTCCCTCATTTCCTCCTTTGAACTGCTCTTCTATTAAAGATTTTTCATACAATAACAATCTGTTTTCTTTGCTTTTGTGCATGAAGATGACTGGACCCTTTTAGAATGGGAAAAAAATGAGCAGTTTTTTTTGTTGTTGTTGTTTGTTTTTTTTTTTTTTTCCCCAAACAGTTTAGAGTCCCTGGGTACCTGTCAGTTTTGCCTGGCTTCAATCCTACCTTCTTAAAGAAAGTACAGAAGGGTTCCATTCAATCATTCAATTAATTCAAACTTCTGTCTAAGAGAAAGGGGTTACTGTACAACAAGCAAGGAACTAGACCTCAGGGTTGCTAAAATAAGCACACACTCCCTGCTTTGAGAGGAAGATAAAATTAAATAGCCTGTGGGATAGCAGTGCAGAAGAAAAATACATGGCAGCTAGTGAGCATTGATCTTAGTCCTGCAATACAAATAAGCATTTAGAGTTGAAAGAAACTTGTTCCATCAATCTCCAAGAGTTACTTTGCCCACTGCAATCTATTCATTGGAGGAAAATGTCCAATTGTGTATTTACATTTTGCATATATTTTCTAGTAAACTACTTATGTAAAGTCAAACCAAGATAATATCAGAACTTCAAATCTATCCAAATATATACACAACATATATGTTCTGATTTCTATTTGGAAAGGTACAACTTGCCTAATGATTTATAATCCCACTTGAGCATTATGGATCATAAAATGTGATGTTTATGCAGAGTTTATGATAACAGAAGAAAATGTTTATATTCTCTAGTGAAAAAAGAAGATTCAAACCTATAATTTGGACATAAAACATTATGAGAGAGAAATTAATAAAGCAAGAGATTTGCATAGAAAATTGACTGGATGGAAATAAACACAAAATAACAGAAAAAGCTATCTTTGGATGAATAATTGCATATTTTCTCTACATTTCAATATTTAGATTCTGTATCATATATGTGTGTGTATATATAAACGCATATATACATTTAAAATACAAAACAAACTTTGAAGGTTAATTTTGGGGCCCTCACTGGTGGTACAACTAGTTAAAGCACAGACTTATGAAGCTATAGCAGCCACTGCAGCACAAGTTTGATCCCCAGCCTGGGGGTGACCTACATGGTGTGGCAGACCTCTCCTGACCTGCCCACTGCTCCCCTCAGCAGTGTATTTCAGTCAATTTGCCTGTTCTGCTCCCCACTCTGTCTCTGGTGAATCGTCTCACATCCCCACCCCACACCTCTGGCCTGTACCATAGTTCTGTATGTATAAATAAATAAATCTTTAAAA